GAATAAATTCATGAAACTAATGTAATTGTTTGTAATGATTATTGAAATTATTGTAATGATTTTTTACTGTGTATTTTTGCTGTGGTTAAACTGACCCCAAACAGAAAACACATTATTGATACAGAAACCCATTATTTATTTTATTTAGTCAGCTTATTAAATGTATTTATAATTATTATTATTTAATATAATGTTGTACTATAAATTTAATCATAATTTAGTTAGACTTTATAGTTTATGTAAGAAATAATTGAAGACGGGCCACTAGGTGGTTATGCGGCCACGACACGAAGTAAATTTTTTTGTATTAATTTTTAGTAATTCAATTGACCAGAGTCAATTATTCAGCTTATACTAGTTACCACACCTCAAGACATTGTTCCGATGTTGAATTTCAAGAAATTTGTCAGGTTTATGTCCTTGAAAAGCTCTTGTGTGTAGGATTTATTTCTTACACATCTCATCCCATGCCTCTGCTTCAAGACCAGTGGAGTTATTACCTAGCCAGTTAGAAATGGCATGTACCTTTTAAGTTGCTAAATATTTACTGATAAAATGAGTAAATGTTACAGGTGTATGTTACACTTTTTGCTGACAGCACGTTTTTGTGCACGTGTTTGTTTCCGTGTGAGCGAGTGTGTGTCAGTACTGAATGTGTGTGTGTTTGAATGGGAGAGAGCATGGGCTAAACGGCGATGCAAACGGCTAAATAGGCACGCAAAGAAGTACAGCTCCTAATGCAGGTGTGTGAGTTGTCGTCATCTATTTTAGAGTGATTGCAATGTATTCTAAATATAAACTTGTTCTGTCGATCAGCGTCATTTCTGGAAAGATCATTCACCGCTTTATTACGAGTTTAGAAGAACGCGAGCGCCGTTGGCTGACTATCAAAATAGCTACAAAAGTAAAAGCAGATACGTTTGTATTCAAAGTTAAAAAGCAAACACACTAGAACATTTTTTTAATGTTTCAAACAAAGGATCTCAGGTTTGTGTATCTTCTAAATTCTGCTGATGATACTACATTACTGCTCTAACATAACACTTATAATTTCAGTTTCAACTAACTAGAAAATAACTTTTGTTTGTGTGTGTGTGTGTGTGTGTGTGTGTGTATATATATATATGTCTCATATTTAACCATTGTATGGTGTTCGGGTCTGTGGGACCCGTTTTCACTTTTTATCAAAAGAAAAATGATACTATTAATAATTTTTTCAAACTCAGACTCATTGGCCTTGGCTCATTTTCTGTGAAGAACATATATCAGAACAAATTTTCAATGAGCCCCCCCCCACACACACACACACTAATATTACATACAGGATGTTCAGGTCTAATAAAAGAGCGGAAATTTTAGGTCCTGTGTACCTTCACTCTGTCCTATTGTCTGGGCCTGCTATTAGTATGTGTGTTTATGTG